CCGCCTGCCAACCCACCCTGCACCCACCACAGGGAACGCTGGACAGAGAAGACAGGCAGGTGGGGGCTCCATGGAGACCAGCCTGGGACACTAGTGGGCAGGGGACGGAGCAGCACCTGGGAGTGGGACAGGCGGGGGGGAGGGCAGGGCCAGGGCCGGGATCTTGGAGCAATGCCAGCACGGAGCTAGGGCCCAGGGCACAGCTGAGATCCACTCCCCGCACATCCATGCGATAGTCACTGGTTCCATGGGCAAAGGTCAGCTGCTACCCGCAGAGCTAGTACCTGTCACAGGGACATGCAGGGAACAAATTGTGGCTCTGCCCCAGGCCCCAACCCCTTGCTGTCACCACCCCATAATCCTAGCCCTGACCAGGATTAAAGAAAACCACTCTACCCAATGGGACTCAGTGCTCAACCTAGAAGATCCCATTAAGCATCTCTGTGATGCTTAGTTTCAGTTCTCAAACTGTGGAATTGTGTTCTTTGGGTAGATGTGATATCTTTTAGTAGAACAACTAAATAGTTGGAAAAATTGTTCTTTGCAAACTTTCGGGTACAAAAACCCTTCTTCAGGTGTAGGGAGAGTTTGTGGTCTTCAGAAATAAGATCCTTGTTAACAGTAGTATATGGAGATGAGAGACTTGATTATCCACCCATCAACCCTATTGGCTCTCTGCAAGTTTGTGTACACCTTGAGTACACCTTTCTCTAAAAGTGCAAAGTTTCAAGAAGTTAAATGAATAAAGGATATCAAACAAGAATACTAAAACAAGAATACTAAAAATCATGGACTAAATATAGACATTGGATTTATGACACATTATAACCTGCCTGACATCTGTCTCGCCAAGTATCTCTCCACTATTCAGCCCCCTTCTCTCTTCCCCCCACCCTGCTGCCTGTCTCTCACCCATTGACTCCTCAATCTACATTTTCACTGACTACCTGTCTTGTATGCAGACCAAACCAGCCTCTGGCTTCTTTACTTTTCATTCCATCCCAGAAGAGCACACACCAACTGCTGAAACTTCCTTAGCCTGACAAAGGGTTTTTGAACCTGAAAGCTTGCTTAATAATTGTTTTCCAACTATTTAAGTTGGTCTAATAAAAGATATCAGATTCACCCAAAGAACCTTGTCTGCCTATCAAACAAGAATGCATTTTTGTAGAAAATAATGATTAAATTGAGGCTTCCTAACCAGTGATTTAAATCGATTTGATTTAAATCAAATCCACCCTGGTAATAGCAGGTTAAAAAAACCCACAAACAAACATGGACTTTAGGAATACGGAATCTTTTTAAAACCACAAGGGTAGGACTGTCATAGGAAATAAAAACCTCACTGTGTATTTTGCAGGTGCATGTGCATATGTGTATGCATATACGTGGCAGAAGAAATCTATTACTAGATAAATGAAAGAGAAATTTTGGCACCCCTATACCCAAACTATTTTAAGCTGATATTTCAGTTTTTCAGGTACTGGAAGAGCAATTCGGCAGGACATCCATGATATAAAAACCATACTGAACACATTTCCTCTTCTCTGTTGCAATGTTAGCTCTCAATAATAAACATTAATAATGTGAAGTCAGAATGTAGCTATTGTGTTAAAAGACAACTTTATCTTATCCATTTCTCTGACGTACAGATTGTTTTGTTAACCCTAAGACATAACAGAGTTTTAGTCCACTAACAATAGTCTCTTTTACATTTCTGTAATCAAATGTCAAACAGACATGTTCTGAATATAGACAGCTATTTAAGTTCATTATGTACCAAGTTCTTCAAATATCGGAAGTGATGGAATTATTCACAAACAAGTAACAAATCATAAAAACGGATGTTCATTTTTAAAAACAAACCCTGGTGCATTAGTAATCCACAATGCCATACAAGAGACCATAGCATAATTTCTGGGTGAAATGAGTTCTACAGAAGTGGTTCATTATCCCTTTAGTAAAGGTAAGAGAAGCACCTCACACTGCTCCTAGGACACCTGCAGCTGAATACAGGTTGATGAGCCTCCACAGAAGTTACATGGAGAAGACTGCTAAAAAATGTGCTGTGATATTGGGTGTTTTGGAGATGGCAGCAGTACTCACAGTTCAAAAATACTAAATACAGCCGTTGTGACTTCCTGTTCCTGAGACACCACAGTACAAAACAGGGCTGCACAGATGGAAACATAACTTATGGGAGTGGTTCTAAACATTTTGAGACTTAGGGCACCCCTTGATAGACTCAAGACACCCCTCTAGAAGTATCAGATCTTAGTTTTTGCTTGCTTTTTTACTACAGAAAGATAATAGAACAAGTCTTCTGTTGCAAAGAACTCAAAGGCCACAACAGATCAGAATGCTTTTAACACTATGAACTACCATTTGAAATCTCTGGGCTTATCTCATGAACTATATTTGTGCGCCTAACAACGCTAACCACTGAGTGGTACTTGTGCCACCCTTGAAAGGATCTTGCAGCACCCTAGTTGAGTCACCAATTTTTGCCAACAGTACTTTCTTATCCAGGTTGAATTCTCTACCAGTTACCTTCAGCTTGTTTAGGGCCAGCTTGTGCTGCTGTGTGCAGTATAAAACACCCCTCGCAAACTGGAGAATCTGGCCCTGATTTTCTAAGAGTAAGATTTTCAAAAGAGTTATTTATTCAACAAAACCTACTGTAGTTTATTCCAACTGCAGTCTCTGAAAAATCGGGTGAAAACTTTTTACAATCTCAGAGCTTTTGAAAGACTGATTAGATGGAAGCTCATGCCAAGAACAAGAACAGCGTACTCTGAAATAGTTCAGCCTTCATCACACTGCATCAACAATAAACCTCAAACCTTCTTCTGAAGAAGGAAAGCCAAGAAATCAACTTTAAGCACGAGTAACTGGAGCAAAAAAGACCATCCAAACCTCCTCTTCTCTCTCAATCTTCAACAAGAGGATCAATAACCATTAATTCTGCTGCAGCTTTCATGGCATAGACACTTATCCACTAGAAGCTTGTGAAAGGGCTGATTCTTTTCACATGAGCCACAGCCATCCCTCAGAGCAAGAGTATCAAAGATAAGACCTGCTGGGCTCCTAGAGGGGCAAGATTAAGGGGCAGGGTAAGTGAGGGTGAGGCTCCTCACCATACTCAGGGGTACAGAGCTTTGTTGGTGATGTGTCTCAGTGGCACAGGGTGAGCAATGACTGTGTTAATCTTCACTGCATTCTGCTGTCCAGATCCAGCCCAGGGGGTGTCAAGTGGGTTTGTCACCTTTGCTCCAGATGACTCCATTTTTAAAGAGTAAGTGGCAGGGGAGAAGATATATTTCATATTTATCGGACACCTACCTAACAGAGGAGAATACTAAAGACAGAGCCTGGAGGAACATTCCAGTAGGAAATGTCATACCTTCTTCGATGCTGGAAAGCAAGCTTCTTATCAGTGCACTGCCCTTTAACCTCACTGACGAGACTACCCTCATGTTGTATTTTAGCTTTTGACTAGACAATAAGACAACCCTGGAAAACTAGCTTTGAGCAGTACTCATATAACCACTATGAACACCAACCTATTCTCACAAGTTACATTACTATTTCATGCTCTATAGCAGGAGTATCAAAGATACAGCCTGCCATCCAGATCTGGCCTACAAGAAGCCCTGCCATCTGGATCCAGCTGTGGGAGCAAAACAAACTCAACACCCTGGCCTACAGAACTTAGTTTTACTGAGAAGGTTTTCCTCAGCCACAACCCAGATAAAGAAATAGATATCTCATACTAAAAGTCCTCAAAAGATAACAAAAATTAGTGGACCACCTCTTCTTCAAGGACATATTTCTGCATGCTGAAAAGTTTAACACACAGGATTAAATTCAGTGAAATATAAAATATGGAGGAACTACGCAATTAAGTGTTGTTCAGAGGAGGAAACATGTAACATAGCAAAAGAAAGAAAAAACTCCGTGTACTGTCAACAAAAAATTAACAGTTCACTGCAAGCATACAGCACTTCCACATATGAGTATCCATTAAATCCAAACTACATGAAAGAAAGCAACTTATCTTGCTCCGTTTCTCCACTCATCAAACTGCCATTAATACTAGGCCTATGCCCGAGAAAACTCAAGGCATCACAAACATATATGTTCCCATGTCCCTACTCAAGAGGCAATCACTGACAGACTACGTAGCCGCTACAGTGAAGTCTTATCATTAGGCTACTGCCATACCTTACTGACAATACTCCAAGAATCTCTCAGGGAGGCAGTCTTCATATCTGTTCCAGTTCCATCACACAGGCTACAAAAGCTGGGGTGCACGACTCAAAGTGATATGCTGATGACCTAAAATATAAATTAAAAAAAACAAAAATGCTCAGCGTTAAACAATAGCAAAAGTTCTGCTAGAAGCAGTTAAAACCCAGGAAACGTGAGGTTCAGGCTAACCTTTCTATGCTTTGCTTCAGAGCAGGGGAGCTGGGGGGGTGGGGAACCCACAAGGGGGAGGCTCACCGCTGTCTCCTTTTAAGAGGTCATTCAATTTACACTTTGAAGGGACAATTTTAGGTCAGGGTGAAAACCCAGGCACTAAATCCCTGACCCCACTCCTGGCTGGGCTGCTTGAGTGCTGGCAGAGGAAACTCAGCACCTCACCCCCCACATCAGGTCTATGCACCTTATAACCCCCTAGTCCTTCACCTCTGCTCTCTTCACCTGGCTTTGTTCAGGCACCAGAAGCATCTGTGACCCCAGGCATCCAGACCCCCAGGGCTGCTCTCGCTTGGGGCCTGGCCTGTGATAACTGTGGGGCTGGGAGGCACCAGCCCTCAGGGACCCCAGGCTGAGCACCCCTCTTCCATTTCACCCCCAGACCAGGCACAAAGGGACAGGGCCGAGGCTCTCAGCTGGGGGGGGAAGGGAAAGCAAAACTACACACGCAGAGTGAAACTGCACACACACGCACAAAGTGAAACTACGCACACAGCAAAATTATGTGCGTGCATGCATGCGCGCGCGCACACACACACACAGAGTAAAACTACACACAGGTGCACACACACACACACGCACAGCAAAACTGCGCACACAGGCAAAAACACAGCAAACCTGCGCGCTAAAAACACAGGTGCATGCACGCATGCATGCGCAGCAAAACTGCACGCATGCACAGTGCGAAACTGCACACGCACACACACACAGAGCAAAACTACACACACAGGTGTACACACAGAGCAAAACTACACGCACACATTGCAACTACACACACAGGTCCGCGCGCACACACGCAGCCCCCCAGGCCCAGGCCGGGGCCGTGGCGCGGGGCAGCCCTTGAGGCGGGGGCCCGCTCCTACCTGCGGCGGTGGTGGTGGCTGCGGCGCGGCCTAGCGCATCGGCGGCGCCTCCGCAGCGACACGTCGCTGGCGCTCGGCGCAG